CGCAAAGCGAAGGAGCTTAGACACCTGTTTGAAGTTGCCAGCAATTAAGTAATGCGATTTGCCAAAGTGAGTCAAATGAATAGGAGATTAGTCGATCAATGCAGGAACTATGACTCATTTTGATCATCGTACAGGAGAGTATTCTTATTTTCATATAATGAATAACTATTTTAAGATCACTTACTCATTTTTATTTTAAGTGCAAAAACACATTAAATGCTGTTCTTCATTAGCTACATGTTATGAATATGAAAACTACATTTTAAAGTGAATTATGTATATATTATTTAATTTGGATTTATTCATTAAATCATACAAAAAAAATCATTCACATAAAACCCATTATTTTAATCTAATTTGCTTACCCAGCAAAAATTGACAACTAAATAAGACAAAGTCTAGACCGTAGAATGTTTAGTCAACAGCCGTGGCTAGAGCTATGGCTAAGAGTCAATCGAAAACCGCTGAATCCACTTTATCAGATTATATGGACAATGACCAAAACAAACGCTGACCACTATCAAACAGAAGCTGCCGTTCAATTGCCCAACTTGGACTTAACCCACACCGCGAACTCTCTATCTCTCTTTCTCTCTCTCACCACTTCACCACTTGACTTGATAAGTCAACCACCGAGTGGCGGAGGTGGGAATGGGATTGAGAGTGGGGAGTGGTGAGTGGGGAATGGGAACGGGAACGGGAATGGGAGTGTGGAGCCACGAAGACCATATGCCCACTAAACTGCGCCATTTCCATTTCCAAATCCGTTTCATTGAAAGAACTCAAATTGCGTGACAGAAAACGTGATTCAAGTGGGTTCCGTTGCGGTATTTGCTGCCTTATTTATTTATTTACTTTTTTTGCACTTGGTATTGCTTGTTTCAATTTCCCAAAATAAACGGCTATATTTATTTGAGTGAAATATTTTGCGTGGCCTGCAGTTTGCTATGCACGGGGCCTGTAAGTGGATGCGATCGAACAACTGAAAAACAGAATACAAACAAAAATCGAAATCAAATTGCAAACGAGCACACTGAGAAAAAATTAGCATTCCACAGACGGGATTAATTCGTTTTGGGTTTTTCTTAGAATTATTTAAACGTTGAAGGAATATTTTTCAGACCGGAACTGAATGATTTGTAAGCTCTATAATTTGTTTTGCCATTAGCTTCTTTAAAACATAATAAACTGTAATTGATTATGTTTATAAAGACATATTTTTAGAATCAAAGTTAATTTTACTAGGGCATGGCCTGACCTTAATAAAGTGCTAACTTATAAAATGGTAGGCCCAACATTTATATTTATAAGATCTTGAAATTATATTTTGGTGATCTGCCTAATGTAATTTACATGTTTATGTGATATTTTTTTTATTTTTATTACAAGAAAACAAAGTTATACCCATAATTCTACCCCGTTATTAGGATCTATAATTTGCCAATTTTGGCTGATTAACAAATACGAATGAAAGTATTTTTTTATCTGCAGGAACGTTGGCAGATTTGAAAGGTACATGCATATATATCGAAGCACCGTTGTTATTTACATGAAGTGCTGCGGAGATTCCAGCGAAGCCTGCCCCCCCTCCCCCCTTCCCATATATCCAATAACGAACGATCAGGTTGCTCGAGGGAAATTCTTTCGCACCACCGAATGCATCGGTCACGTGCCGCTCAAGGTGATAAGGTGGTTCCCTTCCACTCGACTGAGGTGATGGCTTCCCTATCAGCGATAGGCTCTGTAAATAGCTGGCGTGCCATGGGTGTTGTTACCTCAACCCCCCTACCCCTTACCCCGTTTGGCATTTTAATGGCGCAGTGTAAAGTGTAAAGTGGGTGAACGAAATGGCTTAGGTTAGTTAGCCCCGCCACGGAGAACTGACCTTGCTCAGTGGCTGGGGAGTGGTTTGTGCCACTTGAACCACCGCCAGCGAGTTGAATGTCAAAGCCACCGAACTCGATTCCCATTCCGCCGTTTGTCTATGCCAAGCACGTCTTTTGGCCAACCGAAAACCAGACGAAACGACCTTGCCGGCTCTGTAACTGTGTTTAGGCCCAGTTAGCAGCTAGAATCTCGTCGGCTATTCTCCTTGAACCGCGGCGGATGGTTCAATAGCACCTAACATTTCCGAGATCCCCGGCACGGGACTCGCACTCATTTCATATGCGAAAAATACCGCCGCCGTTGTCGTCTAATCAAGACTCGCAAAACAAGTTCAAAAACCCATCGGGCCAAAGAGAAAACAAAGCTCCGAAAACCAATAGCAAAAACCAAACAAAGCGAAGTGCGGGTGTCAAGTCGGCAAAGTCGGCGAGTCATTAAACTTGGCTCGCATTTGACATTGCCAATTGGCAAGGGGAAGTCGATGTGGAAGTGGAATTGGTAGTGGATTGTCATTAGAGTCGCTAAATTCTTGGCCCAGGCCCGGTTCATTCAACTTGTTTATGCGTACTCCCCGAATTTCCAGCTGCAGACTCCGATTCCGATTGCGATTTCGACTCCAGCTTATCTGGGCGGCAGTTCGCCGAATTTTTTTTAGCGACGACGACGCGATCTTCAATTACCATGAATGAAGTGGAGTGGAGTGAAGTGCTCCATGCCGCACACAATTCCGTAGAATGCTACACGAGTCGTCGTAAACAAACAGCTTTTGTTTTTCTTTTATTTTTGGGGTCATTTGCCAGAGCAAAACGTGACAACTGGCGACGGGCGGCATTCCACGCAGTAGCGAATAGCCTCAGATATCGCCACCACGTACCAGGCCCTGAGTGCCACACAATCCCCAAGAAAGCAACCCAAGTAAACCCAAGGGAACCCACAACCGGAACCCGAACCCGAACCAGAACCAGAACCCCGACGTTCTTTAATTTCGATTTCATTTGTGCGAAACTGTGCCGAATTCATTTCGCAGAGTGCTTGGAGGCGGTGGTGAAGCAGATCAAATTGAAGGACCACCGACTTCCAAGCAGAACCCGATACCCAAACGACATGCTGACTGCCCGCTGAGGAATGCAGCTATGCAAATCGCAATTTGCACAGGGATCTGGAAGTTAGGTAGCACGCATGAGCTATGTGGAGCAAGATAAATTCGTTCATATGAAAAAAACAACTCAGCAATTTTATTTTAAGCTATACAAATGACATAAGTGTAATATAAATATAATATAAATATAATGTATGGAACAGCGTAAGGTTTCTTTATATATAGGTTCCACAATGTAGCACCAAACCATTACTTGAGGTTTAGACTAATGAGTTTCATCATATTGAAAAACTGCAACTTTGCACTGCTGAGCAATTTCATTAGTTCATTTGGAATGTTCAAGATAGTTGTGTATAAATAAAAGTGATGGGACAAATGTTATCATTGTGAATACTATCTTTCTTGTTGTGGAAGGGAACAAATTCACATACCATTCTGAATCAGGCTCACTTGACATTGGGTACATATTTTCGTTAGTCATGCGATAATATAAGTATTTATAAATCCCAAAACCTTTGGCAAACAGGGTAATTCTCATTGCCTTAATCAGTGGCCATTCCGCGGATTTCTGTTGAACGCGGGCCTGCAAAATACCAGATTTTTCCCAATTAAGGCAAACGATGACTCAATGGGTACTTCTTCAATGGGGGTTTCGTTGTAAATTGGCAGACATACTGGCATAAATTTTGAAGGTATTTCGAGCTAGACAAGAGTCGATGAGTCATTCGTGGGCCTAAAGTCCGTCTAATGTGACTAATCAAATGCATATTCAGTTGAACTACCCAATCACCCAATCGGGCTTTCCTCCTTTCGTGCTTTCACTGTACTATTCTGATTCTAGAACATGCGACAGCTGCCCGGCTGATGTGTGCAATCTTTATTGCTCTTACGAGTTTTTTCCCTGGACTTTGAGGCTGCACGAGCTAGTTTTGTGAATCCAGTCATCCGGCGAATGAGAGCAAGTCCAGATGCATCTGGAGGGCCACCTAACCCGTGATGAACAACTGAAAGTTGTTTGCTCTGTGCACTTGATTCACCGGCCCAGCAAATGGAAAACAATTTTATTTACTTATCCGCTTTATCGCTCTCATATTATCAGCCATGATGCGGTATTTTTTCCGCAGACTTCGCGGAAACTTTTGTCACGAGCATGACGCTTAATGGCCTGGGATTTGTTCAGATTAAAGTGGCGGTGTACGAGGATTGGGGGCCGTGATTACACCGCCTCTAGGTAACTGATTCCCCATTTATGCATCATGTGCTGGGACACGGAACCTTGTAACTATCTGGAACAGAGTGGATAATTCAAGGGAATTTCCCAGAAAAGGAAACACTATAGTCATAATATTGCAACCGGCACTATTAGCGATTTAAATAGGCGCGATATCCGATTGAGTTCCAACTAACTCGAATCGAATCGACTTCCCTGAGAGCCCAGTTGAAATCCCATATCCCGTATAATGCTGAATCGTCGGATAGAGGAATTTCGTAAGGTTATCGCAATTAAAGCAAACCTGCCTTGAATTTCAAAATATTATCTTGCACTTCAAGTGAACAATCGATGATTGTGTTGCAAAACATTTTGAAATGTATTAAGACAAAGGATTTTCACTTATGACTATTCACTACATTTTTTACAATTTAAAGCTTATCGGGCAGTGCAGTCCGGATGTGTGAAAATCAAGGCAGAGGCTATATCCGTTCCGGTCTGGCCGCAGAAAGGCCTTCAACCCGTCGTGCTGATTGCATTAGCAGGAACAGCAATCGAGCCCCTTAAAACGTAGTTGTATTATCGCGGAACTCCCCGCCGATCCTCTCCAGCGGAATGAATTTCACCATGGGCAATATAATTAGCGTCGAAATTTGCTACGATAAGTCTCGGTTTTCGATAAGTTTCTTGTCAGTTTCTTGCATTGACCTCCAAAGAAAGAGAGACTTTCACCCAAGACCCCAGGAATTATACCCAACCCAATAACAACTCGCTTTTGCGTATTTTAATTTTTAGTAGAATCTTTTAATTTTATTTCTTTTTAGTATGTTGTTTGTTTGTTTTTTCTTTTCTTGTTGATTTTTTTGCTTTTGTTTGCATCAAATTCTTGTTTTGTTTTCTTAGAAGCTCATTATGTTCACTATATCACGTGGCCTTACGAATAGTTTTTTTGTGTGTGTTTTTATAAATATAATTATTCTTTGATTAGACTTAAGAGCGATAGAAAACCTAAGCGGCTTAGCGGGCTATGGTACAAAACCTATATTTAAATGGAGATGTACGTCTATATCTAAGAGTTATGTTTCGCGTTTATCTTTTTCATAAAAAGTATTTCAGCTTTTCAAGTGTTTGTTTTTTTATCATTTGTTTTGTTTTTGTGAGTGTGTATGGAAGACTTTTGCTGATTTGCTGCTATTCAAAAAGAGTAATACATGATATATGAGGCAATTCAACACCAAGTACTTGGACTGAGGTAGTTTGGCGATGTCCTGGTAGAATACCGTTCTCAAATCGATTACATAATAATAATAAATAAGTTATAACAACGTGTGTGTGTGTGTGTGTGCGTCTGATGGAGGTCCTAATCTCGCCAGTGGATTTCCAGGATCTAAGCCGGGAAATTAAACCGACGAGGATGTGGACCGCCGAAGGATTCGCATGTTTGCGGCGGCACTTCAAAGCAACATTTGCGTTATCCCGGCGAATGATGTGAAATGTCTACGCGCATGCGCACAACGCCTGCGCTTGTGAATGATGATTGGTGTAATGGTGTAATGGGGGTGTGGGGTGGGGGGGGTCAGTCTTAAAAGCGGGAGATTCGATAGGGGGCCTATCGCTAGACCCTCTACCAGGGCCGCCAGGGCTGCTCCTCCTCCTTAATCTGCTTCTTGATCACCAGCGACAGGGGCTGCTGCTCCATGGGCACGCGCTGGATGACCGATGGCTTGATGTCCATCGGCTCGTAGCTGGAGTTGGCCGGACTGGGTGGGGCGTAGCTGCAGCTGCTGCTGCTCCCGGGCGCCGACTCGTATCCGGCGGAGGAGTGCGAGCTGGCGGATCCGGTGCTGGCTGTGCGCTGTGGCATGGACACCAACATGGGTTGCTGCTGGGCGGCCACTGCTGCTGCTGCGACGGCGAGTTGCTGCTGCTGCTGCAGCTGTTGTTGCAGCAACTGCTGCTGCTGCTGTTGCGGCAGACTCTGTGGCAATACCAGGGCAATGCTGCCGTTGGGCAGCTTGGTGGGGATCACCTGCATGCCATTGGGCAGGAAGTATCCGCTGGCCGTCTGCTGGATCTGGCCGAAGAGGTAGGGCGCCGCTGCCGTCTGCTGGCTATCCTGCTCCGGCGAACTGGGCGGCGAGGGCAGCATCTGGGCGTGGATGGACTGCTGCTGCTGCTGGCGCTGCTGCTGGTGCAGCTCCGTCTTGACGCCATTGATGCAGTTGCTCAGGTGCTGCAATAGGCGGCGACGCTGGGCGGGCTCAATGCCGGGGAAGCGGCTAACCTCGTTCACACAGTCGGCAAAGCCAGCCTTGAATTTGTTAACAATCTTGGGATCGGCGGCCTGCTGCATGGCAGCCTGCTGGCGCTGCAGCTCTTGCAGATGCTTCACTGTCTTCTCCAGAATGTCGGCCTTTTCCAATTTGGAGTGGCGAGCCGGCTAAAAGTAGAGAGAAAAAAATCGAAAAATTAGTTAACTATTTTTAAATACATTTTTACTAGCTATCAAAAAGTCAAAAAAAATTTTTTAATTCGTTTTAGCTAGCTGTCATTAATATATTTTTTAAGATCAAGTATTTTTTTGTAAACTCTTTTTTAATTTTCTTAATTTTAACCCTTTTTTTATCAGATACTTACGTCTTTTTTGGTGGCATCCAGAATCAGAGTCTTCAGTTCATTGAGACAGTTGTTAATACGGGCGCGTCGGCGTTTCTCCATGATGGGTTTGTTCGACTGCAAGAGGCAAGAAAAGGAAAAAACGGCGATTAGTCACGGCTTTTGCATGGCTAATTTGACCTCATGCAGCGACCCAAAAATAGAGGAAGCTGCATGGGTCTTTAATTGGATGGAGAGCCAAGGAGGAGGAGGATGGGGAGGAGGAGGAGGAGGATCTGGGGGAATGGGTTGACTGGCTGGCGGCCAAATTTAGTCGCACGGCGCGTGCTCTATTTATAGCGCCACTCAGGCGAGGCATTGGTAAAAATAGTTTGGCGGTTATAAATTACAGCCAGGGTCTATAAATAAACCACCAGGTACGAGAGCATGAAAAAGTGGCAAGGTCAGAGCGGAAAAGATGCCCCCAAAAACTAGGCGCAAAAATCGCTTACTACGAGGGGGCAGTATATTGATCTTGCCAAATTTGGCAACGGATGAAGTCAGCTCTTTCGGGCCAAATCAATGAACCGGTCGTCTGGCCAAAATTGCAGCGACCACGCGACGCACGCGCCAAGTGGAAGCCGAATCCAAATCCGAATCCGGGGATCTGGTGGGCAGCTACAGCTCCGCCAGCCAATTTTGGGCGGCACTCATGAATGGATCGTGTCTGGTCGGAGTAGTAGGTATATGCCAGCCATATAGTAAATGCCACCAACGCGACGCGAGATAAATTCGCTTTGTGTTGGCGCGCCGACGGCAACTGTTTTTGGTCTGGCTCAGAGTGCTTTTTTTTTTTTTTTTGCTGAGAGCCATGTGGGAGATGGCTAAAAAGGAAATGCATTTGGGCAGCGGGATTGATGGGGCCAGTCGACCGCCTACAAGGCATATGGAAATCAAGTTGAGCTCGAAGTGGGTGGCTCTCATTTAAGGGAATTCTCATTTAATTTAATCCAGTTTTTATTTTCGGGGGAACTTTGGGTTCTGATTTTAATCCATTTGGAGGGGTTGGTTCAAGATTTTTTCCCAGGGAAGACACTTACCCGACGGTCACTTTTCTGCGGCGTCTCCTTGAGCTGGGCCGGCACCACGGCGGTACCCAAAACGTTGGTCATGTTGGCTGCGGTAACGCCGGTAACCATTTCGGTTAGATATTGTTTGTTGAGTTTGAGGCACAGTTTGGGTTTCACTTTGGGCAGCAAATATGGATTTGCTGCTCTCTATGTATGTGTGTTCACTGTTTATTCTTTAGTTTTTTATTTTTTGTAGATTTCAGTTCAGTTTGTGTTTCAAGTTCACTTGGTTTTCACTTTCGCGCAGCGTCGCAGAGAAGCACGTAAAAATTAGTCGAGTTCTCTTGATTTGGATTCTCGGTTTTTCAAGCGGAGCGATAGAACCGCACGCTACGAGTTACGGCAGGCGAATGAGCGGCAGGTTCTGGCTGCAGTGCGATTAAAAGACTCGAAACGAAGCGACTCGGCACGAAGCAGAAGATCGATCGCAGTCGGTTCTTCGGGTACTATATATATATACAAATATATATGGTGTATATATACGGTTTTACTGGGGATGTTGCGGAGCGTAGCGGGACTACCTTATCGCTGGGCTCTCGGCGGACGACTGACGATTGATCGACAGGTTCGTTGGCTAAATCGCCGCTGCGAGACGCGAGCGCGAGCCACACGACCGCACAAATACAGGGGCAATGGGAAGTACGGCGGCTACCTAGGGTTATATTGGCTATATTCGCTATATGTGCGCCTACCTGCTCGCTCGCGTTGGTATTGGTGAGCTGAGCTGGACTGAGGGGTACCTAAAGTCGTACACCCCGCGTTACTCATACGCCCCCTGGTCCGGCTGGTTTCGGTTTCGGATTCGGTGTCGCGGTATCTCGGTATCTCGGGCATTTCTTCCTTTTTGGAAATCACACTGCGAAACCCCCATTGGCGATCGCATCCGTTGGCTCGGTGAGGGATTCACAGATCCACAAGAGGCTGTGTGTCGGGTCGGTGGTGCTGCTGCTGTGGTGCTTTTCTGGTGGTTCGTAATTCGTGGTTGTGCCAGTGCTGCTGATTCATGCGGCCAACGCGACGAAGTCCCATAGAAGGTGAAAATAGCTGGCGATATGACGCCACCCCAGTGCGACAGGTTCGGGTGTTTTTTTTTTGTGTTTTATCTTTGGTTCGGGGATCGCTAAACAGTAAACAAGATCACAAGGTTGTGCGCACGCCAGGCGGAAGTGGGTGTTTGTTGGGTGGATGGGTGGTTGGGTGGTGTCTCCCCCAATCTTTCCAGACCTGTCTGTAAGCCCGACTAATTCCCCATGCCGTGCGCCGCAATTAAGTGAAGGTCGCCCTTTGCTTTTTGATCGATAGCCGACAAGCTAAATGAAATGGAAATCGTTACGGACAAGGCTGCGTGGATCACACGTGCTCCGGCCGACGCTTAGATTCAGTTTGATGGCGTCTACGTGCAGCGCTGGATTTTCACGTTTTTAGCTTTTTGTTCGGAGTAATGATTTATCGAAGGTTGGATGTAGTTACACGCCACTACAAAGAAAATTTGGAAAAATCCGACATCCACACACAAATGATTAGTTGAGAGAACTTTAAGGGAATTGTTTGGAAAACTGAGAATTCTTAACTACAAATGCGTTACTAATTTTCTACCTCGCTTAAAAGAACATTAGTCGCAAATATTTCAGTTTATATTGATATAACTTAAAGCGGAAAGTGAAATTTAAAGAACCTTAAACCCATTCATTATTTAAAATATACTGTTATAGTTCTGAGAACTGAGAATCACTAACTTAAAATTGGCATGTAACTATTTAGAATAGTTAGGATGAGATCAGTCAAGGGAGGTGACCCATATTTGGTTTACAAGATCAAGTATGGGGAAATAACGCTGTTTTTGAGGTTTGTTTATGGGAAATAATGCTAGATTTGACATAGACCCCTAACTATTAGTAATTAGGAAATGGTTTTAGAATTGAAAAAAAAAATAGAAACCTCAAAATGTCGAATGACTATTCCGGGGTATTTACCATATTTTTGAGGTTTTCTTATGTGAGATAGATTGAAAAACCAAGAGTATTTACGCAGAAACTGTCATCTACTAATTAAGTTAACTTTGAAGGAGATGAGTCAAGGCAGTTCACAGATATTTGGATATCTGAGTAAGAGTATAGTAAAAAGATTTACCCGTGTTTTTAAGGCTTTTCTTCAGAAATTCGTAATAGAAGTGAATAATAAGCTCCTGTAGATTACGACCATCAAGGCAAATCAGAAAAATGCATGTTTAACGATTTGTGAAATCCACAACAATTTGGGGAATTTCTGACATTTTTGAGGGCCGTCGGCTGTCGGTTGTCTAGTGTTGTGCGTTTTGTGGTCGCCACGGAAGGTTGCCATGCCGCGAACACATTGCCCCGGCATTACGGCAATCCGGCAAATATATACAGGCGGCAGTGGCGGACGTCGACAACACCTTCGCGTTCCAATTACAATTTGGCAGCCGATCAAAAGGCGTCCCGCCCGCGGTCAGCGTCGGCAGAGGCAGAGGCAGAGGCAGCAACAGCGGCTGAGGTGGTGGCGGCAGAGGCGGCACTTGTGCATGCCAATTTAATTGCAACGAAAAGCAACAAGAAAATAAACAAAACGAGAGATCGGAAAACGTTGGCGGTGTTTTACATCATGCTCGCGCTGGCCAAAAAAAGCCAAAGGTGTGGATGTATCTCACGGATACAGATACAAATACATTCGCAGTTGTTTGTGCGCTCAACGCCCAATTTGACGCCCCATTGTTGTTGTTGATGTTGTTGTTGGCGGACTCGATCACATGCAGCGTCTAAAATAAACTGTGGCTAAAATTTATAGTCGAAAAGGCGCAAGCACACAGAAATGTGCGCATTGCTAATTGCGTCTAAAATTAGACAGCGCCAGATACAATCGCAGCCCCTCCCCCTCAGATTCCCCCGCAAACCCCGGGAGCCCTGATCACTGAATAATCACCGATGATCACTGATCGTAGACCTCCGCTAACAGCGACGTCGCGATTTTAACAGCGGCAGAAACGCCCACGCGCCGCTTTTAAGTCGCTGAGTCGGAAAGTCGGCAACAGCGGTATGTAACTAAAAATAACAGTACTCGGTGGGGGAGGGGGAGCGACTGTTACGCCCGGCAGTGGGAGCAACAGAGAGAAAGAGAGGGAGAGAGCAAACGCTCCATGGCCGCGGCGAAAATAAATTTCTAGCCGCGCGCGCCACTCTCGCGATTAAAACGCCATAAAAATCGCCAACGCTGTTAAAAACGCGCGTTACATTTGCGCGATCGGTTGCTATTGCACTGAGGCAAAATATGACCTGAATTGGGAACAAAAATAGGTAAAGAGATCATAAAATTGTATTCTTAAGTCATACGTATTCCATCATAACTTTGATTTACAAATAGTGAGATTAAACTATCAATTAAAAATTACTTCTTATATAATATATTTTTTATTATCCTTATGGATTCTTAAAAATAATAATAACTTGATTAATATAATGTGTATATAGCAAAAAGTAGATTTAAAGATTTCTTTAAAAGTTAAATGAATGTATTTAAATTATAGCTTGGAATATTTGTTCTAAGTTTGTACCAGTTATTAAAATTGAAACAAAATTAATAGAGGCCTTTAACTGTATTGCAAAGTCATCTGATTTTATAAAACTAAAATCTTAAGATGCAAAAACTCAGCTTTAAAACAAAAATACCTTTTTGTAAGAGAGCAAAACAAAATAAATAAATTTAAATAAAAATTTAAATGAGGCCTCAAAATGAACCCAAAATTTTTTCCGTGAGTATGGTGATGCTGTTGTTATTGCAACTAATGGCGCTGTAAAATTTGGCAAAGCCGAGTGGGTGGCTAAGGGAGTGGGAGGGGGACAGACTGCGTGCGAGTGAGTTAGCACTCGCATTTGTTCCCCCACATTTCGCAGCGGTTGTTGTGCAAAGTATTTTATTACTCATTAAGCGTAACGACGCATTTTGCCCAGAATTTCATTTTCGGGTTGGATGGGGTAATGAAAGAGGGTGGGGTTTTTGCGGCAAAAGGCTTAATTTTTCGACACAAACGTCAGCGAATACCCGACGACAGACATTCTAAATTTAGCAACAGGTAAAAAACAATGCAAAAATACATTTTTCAGCTCTTCTTATCGAGGCTGTTGTCTTCATTTCGCTTTGCGTTTGTTTTTGTTATGTGTCGTATTTTTTTTTAGTTTGGGTGGCCGAGCGACTTTATAAGGGCAAAGAAGGAAGCCGCGGCATCGAAATCGCGTGATGCGGAAAACGGATAACTGAAAAAAGGGGGCAGTCCAAACGGGTTTATTTTTTAGTAGGCTCTAACAGTAAAATTAATAAAAAACAGTGAACAGTTGGGTATAGAAAACTTAACTGTTATAACTGAGGTTATTAGGATTGGGAAAGGAAACGGGTATTATTATCTTAATTGAGTTTTAAAGGGTTTCAAGCTAAAACATATATGTATGTTTTTTTATTGTATTTTAATAGGTTGGTAAAGACTGACTTAGGAATGAAGTTCTAAAAATAATACCGAAGCTATTGTCTGCAGCGAGTTTTGAATGAATTATACATTATATATATTAGAATTAGTTCTCATTTAAAATCATACAAGATTTTGAACCAAGAGGAATTAAAAGCAACTTATTTCGAACCTAATGATTTGTAAGCAATTTCAAAAGAATAATTCTGTCTTACAAAGAAACAAAAGGGAGCTACAATGTTTCTTAATCTTTTAGAGATGGCTATACCTTGATGACTTTTGGATCCTTTGCTGGCTCAGCCGGTTAATTTGCTGGTAAAATCCCGACAGCAGACTTGACTTTTCGACTGCCAGCCAAGTGCTGAACAAAGTGCACATCCTGGGCCTTTTGCTATTTGGTAAATATTGGAGTTTTTCCAAAAGTTAAGTCCGGCAATCCTTTCGCTGGAAGCGAAATCCTTCCGCCCACTGCTTCTTGTCCGAGTTTTCCGATAACGCCTCTATTGCTACTGCCACCGCTTCCCAATCCTTAACCCGTCCTCGGAACAGTAGCCGGATGGCTTTTAGCAGGGCCAACGCCTCCCGGCGGAGGAAAGGGTTCCGATTTAAGCCATGTCCTGGTATTCGTGGCTTAGTTGCAACCGCGTTAATTAAATCGCCTTAGACACGCTCGCCCCTCCACACACAGATCATGGCCAAAAAGGGTTCAGGATCGCCGCGGAAAGGATTAGAAACCAGGTAGGGTTGCCAACGGGTTTCCACGCTTTCTATTAACAGGATGATCATGCCCATCAAAGGGCTAAAACCACACACCCATAAAACCGAGTGTGCAACAATGCCACTGCGCGTGTGCAACGCTCAGTCGGTCCAACTCTTCCCTATCCACAGCCATACCCTTTGGCCAACTTCAGTCTCAACCCTGTTTATTGCACCCTTTTGGCACTTTTTTTTTACCTAGTACTCCTACGAGTCTGAGTCGCCGTGACGCTGTTTGTTTATTTGCCATAAAAGGATTATGGGCGTGGTGCATCCAGGTATACCTATGTATCTCTATCCATAGGGTTATAGGGTTACTCGCACGCCTC